TTCTACCCAAACAGATTACAGTATAGCTAATTAAATACATCCTTCTTACGTTTCTACCCAAACAGATTACAGTATAGCTAATTAAATACATCCTTCTTACGTTTCTACCCAAACAGATTACAGTATAGCTAATTAAATACATCCTTCTTACGTTTCTACTGAAAGAGATTACAGTATAGCTAATTAAATACATCCTTCTTACGTTTCCACTGAAAGAGATTACAGTATAGCTAATTAAATACATCCTTCTTACGTTTCCACTGAAAGAGATTACAGTATAGCTAATTTAAATACATCCTTCTTACGTTTCACTGAAAGAGATGAGAATGTAATATTTCATCACTCACCGTTAACGTTTTTGGCCGTAATTCCAATAATACCTCATGAGGTTTGGATAGTTTAATAGGGTTAGGTTAATCCTAAAAACATATATTAAGCTAACAATACCAAACAATCTTTATAACAAAAGTATAATAATTAGTGTTAATGAAGGTAACAATGAATAAACAACACAGTGTACTTCACACACACAGATACAGAACTACTGGTGTATAAGTTACAAGTGTCTTTTTAATATCATAAGTGGGGTACCTTAGGACTCTGTATTATGACCTTTGCTCTTTTTGATTTACATCAAAGACATAGATGAAGGAATGTTCAGTAAATTACTTAAGTTTGTTCCCGATATTAAGGTCTCGCGTGTTATTGGCTGCAAGGATATTGCCAATGTTTTACAAAGGCAAAATACCCACCAGACACCTCTAGTACAAAAGACAAACTGTCTGATTAAACATGACAACCTAACGGACTTACCTAGTAAAAGACAACAGATCTACCGATGATTTCCAGACCTGGGTATTTGGGGCAAGTATTAAAACTTACGGGGTGGGAGTACCGGTACTCCAAGCACCCATAAACAGAGGAGATTCACAAAAAACAAGCACTACTGTCCAAGACGGAGCTCCAAGGGATGACATTCATTTCACAGATACTTTTCCCTTCATAATACATAGTACTATCTACACGCATCCCTCCCATACTTCCCTACTCCTAATTTCATCTTTGCATTGTTAAAGAAGTTTAAAAAAAGCTTCTCATGCATGCAGACACAAAACTATTTTAATTATACAGCTAAATCGGTTATCATAATATAAATAATTTTTAATCAAATAACCTTAACAGCATTATGGAAGATAAAGATTCTGGTCTCTTTAGGCATTTGTGTAACGTGCTGTTGCTAGTGGTAAGACAAATAAGATGTATCTATCGAAATATTAAATAAAATATGTTATTATTTCATCACATAGGCCATACTTGGAGTACTGACCTCCTTACGTTAAGATGGACATTGAAATGTTGAAGTAAAATATGTTATTATTTCATCACATAGGCCATACTTGGAGTACTGACCTCCTTACGTCAAGATGGACATTGAAATGTTGAAGTAAAATATGTTATTATTTCATCACATAGGCCATACTTGGAGTACGTTAAGATGGACATTGAAATGTTGAAGTATTCAGAGGAAGGCTACTATGATAACCAGGATGGAAAAGCTGTCATACAAGGATAAGTTAATTGTTCTCTTTTGTAAAAAAGACGAGTTGGAGGTTATCTTATTGAGGTGTTTAAGATTCTTAAGAGAACTGACAATGTGAATGCATCATCTTTTTTTTTTGTACTTAATCGTGAGAACGGTAAGACTAGGGGGGCACAAATATAAATTTTGGTAGGATGGGAGTCATCTTCAGCCAATTTTTCTTACAGGGTGATTTGACCTTTGAATTTGGCTGCTTTTAAATTTGGTGGATGCAGTAAATTTAAAGGAGTTGAAGAGAAGGCTTAATAAATATTTAAATGATAAGGGCTGACACCAATTTTTTTTTTAAGTTTAGTTCAATAGATGGGATAACGTAGATGGACAATCAGGCCCCTCGTTGTCCTTAAGTTTTATTTTACTTTACATTTAGATAGACAAAAATAGCTTGAAAAAAGTTTAAGCCCTTAAGTAACACTTTCTGCTTTACTATAATAATAAAAGATATTATCGATACTAGGACTAACCGAAATACTTCACCTCAAACTTTAATTGTTCCCATTTCCTCAGCCCGGAATGCAAGACCTCTCCACACGAGGAGATTGCTCTACCAACAGTTTGTTTGTTATGGATTTCGCGCAAGGCTACACCAGGGCTATCTTTGCTAGCCGTCCCTAATTTAGCGGTGAAAGACTAGAGGGAAGGCAGCTACTCTTGGGCTACTCTTTTACCAACGAATAGTGGGATTGACTGTCAAATTATAACGCCCCCCACGGCTGAAAGGGCGAGCATGTTAGGTGGGACGCAGATTGCGAGTCGAGTGCCCTAACCACCAGGCCATGCCGGGGCCCTCTACCAACAAAACTGAAGGTTTAAATCCCTAGCAGTTGTTAGTAAGACACTTTTTTACAATCAAACTACTACAAATAGGCTCAGCTAACAAGTTTCACAATAATAAAACTCTTTAGATGCAAGAACTTTCATCGTGGAAAATAGTTACAAAGAGTTTTAAAATCATCCTTTAAACATGCTTCAAATTTTCAACTGTACTTTTAGTTAACAGTTCCACAACTGTAGAAGTAACCACCACGAAAACAAACACTCACCCATTTGGAGACAGTTGTTCCAGTTCTTCCCACAACTGTTTCATCGATTCTTGAGACAAATGCAGATCCAAATCAGCACAGCTGAAGGTTGTCGGTGCAGACTCCTCGTCCATCCCAATGTTCTAAATATCGTGAGAAAATTATAACAACAATTATGAAAGAACAACGATAGTGTACCATGTGTAATAAGAGAAACATGCAGCACCTTCTACAAGAATATAGTAATAAGATTCTTGAACAAACAAATAACAACTGAAAAGAGTTATTAAAAGAACCTAAGCAAAAGAACAATAACTGCTAAGATTAAAAAAAAAAAGATCTGATAATTATAAATACATACATTCCTGGCTAATGCACAATGTATCAACATTTTTTTTAACCAAGTAAAAACAATTCAAAGAATTTATATTAAACTATGGAAAACGCCAAATAATATTTATAAACAGAGAAATAAACTCAATCATGGTATACAAAACCAGCCCTTTCAACTGTCTTAAATGTAATCAGATTTTTATTCCATAAATCATATTTGTAAAACACTCACACTCTGTATAATATTAACAATTATAATAATTTATTAAATAAGTTTATAATTTTGTCGAAAGATGGCACCAGCTGCAGAAGCTTGAAAGTGTCTACTATACACGTGTTTCTAGTGGTGATCCACATGTTCCAAAAACAATTTGTTACTTTACGATATTTTTTATTTCTATTTGCGATATCATCATCAAATCAATTTCTTTTTCATTCAATTTTAGGGTCCAGTTTTCGAACAAAGAACTATAATCTAAAATTTTGGTTGGAAAATTCATAACAAAAATATCAGATTACGATAGATGACTCACCTTGTTATATTATTAGTCGACTTTCTAACTTGGGCTACTGTACGACCTTTGTTGGTAGTAAACAGTGTTGATCTTTATGGTTGCTATGCTACAAGTGGAAATCTACGATGCCCCATCTACGTCGCGTTTCTCTTAAATGGCGTCTCTGACCCACGCTATAATGCTTTATTGTGCTTCAGCTGATTTATGCGCATGCTCAAGGCGAGCGTTACTATAACGATTTGGTCCCGTTGAACCACGTGGGGACTACGAACACACGTGTTTAAAACTGACGCCGAGAAGATGCAGGGCGTCTTGTGAGGATAAAGACTCTCACACAAAAAGAGTAGTGAAACACGTCGAGGCAGTTGTGTTGTAAAAAATTGCCCCGGGGGTTCGTTTTGTCCTCAAAAGAGAGCGAGAAGTAAATCTCCAGCATCAAAGAAAGCGTATACTGTGGCCAAAGCCTATCAAGGTCAAGACGCACCGACGGAAACAGGTCAGCTACTTCTGAACGAGCTATTAGCTACGAAAAGGTGACCTCTGGTGGGTTTGGATAACCAAACCATAAATTGGGGTTATTTATGGAGTGAGGTTTAGTTTGCTTGTTTCGGAGTCTCGCGAAAAGCAACAAAAGGGCTATCTGCGTTAATCGTTCCAAGTTCAACTGATAGACTAGAGATAAATAAGTCAACTTATTTAGTTAGCCCGCTAACTCATGGGCTACTCTAATCGAACTTGACTACGGCAGTGGGACGCGAACCACGAACCCTTGGATTCACAATTCAGCACACTAGCCATTATAGGCCACGCCCTGCCCTTTGAAGGTTAACGGAAGGACACAATTTTCACGTGGTAACACTTGTCAGAAATTTTTTTTATTACTGTTATTAAGCGCAATGGGCTTTCTATGCTGTGCCCACCACGGGTATCGTAACCGAGTTTTCAGCGTAATAAGTCTTATGACTTACCGCCACTAAGGGTGGGGACTATCTTAAACAACGATAGAAACTATATATATATATATCGTATACATCACGTTCTATGACTTACAATAAATACTTTATTAAATAACACGAGCTTGACTGACACAAACATAACCAATCACAGTACCACGCCTCCCCAGTGGCACAGCGGTATGTCTGCGTACTTACAACGCTAGAAACCGGGTTTCGATACCCGTGGTGGGCAGAGCACAGATAGCCCTTGTGTAGCTTTGTGCATAATTAAAAAAACAAACACAGTACCACAGCCCCATCTGTACGTTTTACCAACAAACTCTATATTCAAGCAATAACAAAATACTGTAAAAAGATATAAACAGTTTCGTTACACGATATACACTAAATTATATATAAAATATCAAAATTTTTACTGCGAAACGGTACAATAAATAGAATTACCAATAAGGTCTATACGGACTTGTAAAGACATTTTTTTAAGCAGGAAATTACTTGTGTATCCATGACTGTAGGTTATAGGCCCGGCATGGCCAGGTGGTTAGGGGGCGCTCGACTCGCAATCTGAGGGTCGCGGGTTCGAATCCCCGTCCCACCAAACATGCTCGTCCTTTCAGCCGTGGGGGCGTTATAATGTGACAGTCAATCCCACTATTCGTTGGTAAACGAGTAGCCCAAGAGTTGGCGGTGGGTGGTGATGACTAGCTGCCTTACCTCTAGTCTTGCACTGCTAAATTAGGGACGGCTAGTGCAGATAGCCCTCATGTAGCTTTGCGCGAAATTAAAAAAACAAACAAACTGTAGGTTACAGGGCAGAGGCGGCGGACTTGCTGGGGCTGCAACTACCCCCAAAATGTGCCTTTATCTC